ATTTTTGTTCGAATTTTCCCTTTTTATTTTTGAATTTGAGTCAAAAAAAAAAAAGTTTCATCTTGTTAGTCCTTTGTTATTTTTTTTCGGTTATTACCTTTTGTTGAGGGGCCGAATTTCTTTTTGTTTTTTGAGTCTTTGTTGGGGGTTCGAATTTTTCGAATTTTTCCCTATTATTTTTCATTTTTTAGAGTCTTAAAAAAAAATATATATATATTTATGATGTCAAACCGTGAGAGAATCCAAGCCTTGGAGGATAACATGAAGATCATCGGCGATGGTCAACATGCTACCAATGAGAACTTGGGAAGGATCGAACTAATGGTCCAGGACTTGGCCGGGCAACTAACACGCATGAACACGCGGCCAAGGAGACGACACGGTTCGCGGTCCACGGCAGTCAGCACAGGGACCGAGCGCGAGGATGATCGCCGATCGCGGGGCTCACACGCATCACACGCAGATCCCCATCGCGACGGCCGATGACGACACGAGGGACGCGCACATCAAGACCGCAGGCGTGCAGACGAGGACGACCGGCAGTCGTACGCATCGTACGCATTGCGGGCCTCACACGATGAGCGCCGGGCACGACGCGATGACCGAGAGCGCTACAACGAGGGCCGACGATGTCATGAACGACGGGACGAGGGACGTGCCCGATACCACGCTCGCGACGATCCACGGGACGACGGGGCCGGCACACGGCCAAAAATTACTATGCCCACGTTCACGGGAACGGATCCGGATGCATGGTTAAGTCGGGCTGTGCAATTCTTTGAGATCAATGATGTGCCAAGGTACGAACGAGTGCAAATTGCTGCCTATCACCTTGATGTGGAAGCAAACGTTTGGTGGCAATGGGTGATGCACAAAAACCATGGCGAGCACATGCGATGGAGAGATTTTGAAAAAGAGCTTATCACGAGGTTTGGCTCGAGTGACTACCACGATTACAACGAGGCTTTGTCAAGGATCAAACAAGTGGGTAGTCTAAGGGATTATCAGAAAGAGTTCGAGCGAATCGCTAGTAGGGTACGAGACTGGCCCGAGGCTGCGTTAGTGGGAACGTTTGTTGGAGGACTTAAAGCTGAACTGGCAGCCGAAGTGAGGTTGGACAGGCCAGGCTCGATGCGAGCAGCCGTTGAGTCAGCTAGATTGCACGAAGAACATCTTGTGGCGGTACGCAAGGCAAAGCCGAGTGACGTGCGCACGGAGATCAAGCGCTCAAACGCGGCGACCGAGGAACTGGCAGGGCGAACGGAAAGCAAGCCGATGGGCGAGATTTTTCGAACGACGAGCAACATACGACGGCTTACCGACGAAGAGATGCAACGACAGCGA